TACGGATTACACGCTTGACCATGCAGGCGATTCGCCGATTCCCACCACATACAAACCTCAGGTACCAGAGTCACGGCAAGTAATATGGCACCTGCATTCTTCATCCTACAAACCAGTAACATTCAAATGTAAATTTCATTCCTTGTCTTTTAAGCCTTGTTCTTCTCTCTTTGTTGTGGCAGCCCAAATTTCACTCGTCTATAGTAATCCAGGTTAAACGATGCTCTCAAAAAGGTGGCCACAGCTATCATCAATTATCTCTTTTAGCGCATCCCGTGTCGAGTTTGTTAGCCTGGGCAATCCAGATATTTCGCTGTCATGGAAAGAAATTCTCAATTTCCAATTCATTTGAGTGCAGCGCAAATCCAATAAATCACCTCGCCACCACGTCTGCATCTTCGGAAGCGACCATATCACGTCGATTCACCAGTCCAGCGGTACAGTGCATGCCTTTCACTTCAATACAGTCTTTGACTGTGAACGGTACTCCAAGAAGGGGTTTAGCATTCATTAACTGCAACAATCAATTTTAATCGCAGTTTCCAATCACAACAACCAATAACACAAATAAAATATAATAAATGAAACCATTGTAGACTAAATAGATCTTTCTTTTGTAGAACAAAACATATTCTATGCTCAAAAATCACGCATCGCTATTCGTATTGTTCGATCATATTACACTGAAATAATCTTCCACACAATAAATCAATCATTGGAATCACCAACTTCATCGAAAGCTTCGCCCTTCTCATCGATACTATCCAGAATCGTGTCCACTTCTCGTGCGTTTTGACGTGCCTCGTCGAAATTATTCTCCACAACCGAATTGGTAATGCCGTTCACTTGTTCAATTCGATTAATATATGCTTCAATCAGATCGATACTTTTGATCTGAAATAAACAATAATAAAAAACGTAATGTTCAAATCCAGGTACTGGCCACAGCTTTTAGCGAATCTTATGGAAAATTTTTATGGAAAACTCGAATATGATCACTAATTTTTCTGGAAATTGGAATACTAACCTCTCGTTTGCGAATCCTATCAGCCGCTTGTTTCGCACTCATTAGCAGTAGACTATTCTCTGGTTTCGGTACATTTCGTTTCCTGAGAACCACTCCAACAATCCAACATATAATACGCACAAACGTGAAATATATTCTCGCAACTAAACGACAAATTAAATCCACGATTGACATTGCGAATCAATTTCCGCTCACAAATAAATCCTCGATTGCTCAGTATCAACCGAATACTATCTGAGCAGCAGTAGCACCACTACGACCTAAGTACCTGCAATAAACTGAACAATCACTGCATCAAACTGATTCAATACGAATCGAATCCAACGTTTCAGGACACAATCTCGCTGATGTTTCGCCAGCATGTTAACTTCATTAGCACGATCGAAGTGTATCACAATTTGATCAATAAAAACAAGAAAATACATTCATCGATTTCTCTTATATTCCTTGAAGTTCTCCTACTTGTTCCCAACAAATACTCTGGATCTTTCAATCGCTTGAATTTCAAATCGCTCAAAATTGGATACCTTTACCAATCGAACACACTTCCTTCTTGTAATAAAGTCAACTATACAAAGCGATAAACGCTCGTGCAAGCGCGACGATACAATAGACGATACAGTGATCGCATTATCAAATTCTACTGTAATATTATTACTTGCAGTGGTGTAATAATATGCATTTGCAATGCGATAATTAATTACTGCTGCAGTAGTGAGTTTAGCATATCGCATTCTTATTATTATTACTACTATTTTTGTGTGACACTTCAGATGAATGACTGAATGCATACAGGTTCTCTTCAACCTATAGCAATCCATTATCATTTATGAATGAATGGATTCTTTTTTTTAAACAAATTTGCAAAAATTTCATGCACAAATATAAAAATTTCAGCAAACAACGAAATTTCAGACTGGCGACACAGCATCTAAATGCACAGCAAAGTCATTTGACACAAAGCAACTCGCGGAATCCACACCCCGTCATCACCATTCAAACACT